TCACAAAATTCAACTGTATTCTTCCCACACGCCAGCAATGAACAATCCAAAAATGAAATTAAGAAAACAATTCCATTTATAACAGCATCAGAAAGAATAAAATATTTAGGAATAAATTTAACCAAAGAGGCGAAAGACTTATACACTGAAAGCAATAAAATGCTGCTGAAAGAAATTAAAGAAGACCCAAACAAATGGAAAGACATTCCATGTTCATAGATTGGGAAGACTTAGTATTGTTAAGATGGCCGTACTCCCCACATTTAGAGGTCCATTGCAACTCCTATTAGAATTCCAGCTGCCCTTTTGATAGTAATTTTCAGGCTAATCCTAAAATTCATTAAGAATCTCAAGGGACCTCAAAAAGCCAAAACAATTTAGAAAAAGGACAAAGTTGGAAGACTCACACTTTCTGATTTCAAAGCTTTACTACAAAGCTACAGTAATCAAGATGGCGTGGTACCGGCATAAGGACAGACACATAGACCAGTGGAATAAAACAGAGAGCCCAGAAATATACCTTTATACATACAATCAATTAATTTTCAACATGGAGGCCAAATCCATTCGATGAGGAAAGAACAGTCTTTTCAACAAATGGTGCTGGGAAAACTGGATGACCACAATCAAAAGAATGAAGTTGGACCCTATCTTATACCATAAACAAAAACTAACTCAAAATGATCAGAAGTGTAATCTTCATGACGTTGGATTAGGGAATGGTTTCTTACCTATGAAATCAAAAGCACAAGTACCCAAAGAAAAAATACTGGACGTCATCAAAATTAAAAACTTTTGTGCTTCAAATGATACTATCAAGAAAGTGAGGGCTTCCCTGGTGGCGCAGTGGTTGGGAGTCCGCCTGCCGATGCAGGGGACACAGGTTCATGCCCCGGTCCGGGAAGATCCCACGTGCCGCGGAGCAGCTGGGCCCGTGAGCCATGGCCGCTGAGCCTGCGCGTCCGGAGCCTGTGCTCCGCAACGGGAGAGGCCACGGCAGTGAGAGGCCCGCGTACCACACACACACAAAAAAATCTAGTACCCAGAATATGTAAAGAACTCTTACAACTCAACAATAAAAAGACAAGTAAGGACTCCCCTGGTGGCGCCGTGGTTACCAATCTTCCTGCCAATGCAGGGGACACGGGTTCGAGCCCTGGTCCGGGAAGATCCTACATGCTGCAGAGCAACTAAGCCTGTGCGCCACAACTACTGAGACTGTGCTCTAGAGCCCGCGAGCCACAACTACTAAAGCCCGCGCACCTAGAGCCCGTGCTCTGTGGCAAGAGAAGCCACTACAATGAGAAGCCCGCGCACTGCAACGAAGAGTAGCCTCCACTCACCACAACTAGAGCAAGCCTGCGTACAGCAACAAAGACCCAAAGCAGCCAAAAATAAAATAAATAAATTTATTTTAAAAACAGACAAGTAACTCAGTTCAAAAAGTGAGCAGAGGGGGCTTCCCTGGTGGCGCAGTGGTTGAGAGTCCACCTGCCGATGCAGGCGACACGGGTTCGTGTCCTGGTCCGGGAGGATCCCACATGCCGTGGAGCGGCTGGGCCCGTGAGCCATGGCCGCTGAGCCTGCGCGTCCGGAGACTGTGCTCCGCAGCGGGAGAGGCCGCAGCAGTGAGAGGCCCGCATATGGCAAAAAAGGAAAAAATAAAAAAAAAAAGAGCAGAGGATTCAAACAGACATTTCTCCAAAGAACATATACAAATGGGCAATAAACATGTAAAAAGACTGCTCATTATGTTACTCATTAGGGAAATGAAAATCAAAACCACAAAGAGATATCTACTTCATACCCAGTAAGATGTCTATAACCAAAATAATAATAAGTATTGGTGAGAAGTTGGAACCCCCATACATTGCTCGGGGAATGTAAAATGGTGCAGCTGCAGTGGAAACAGTTTGGTGGTTCCTCAAAATGTTAAACATAGAATTACCATATGACTCAGTAATTCCAGTCCTAGGTATATACCCAATAGAACTGAAAACATAGAGCGTCACAAAAAATTGTACATAAATGTTCATAGCAGCATTATTAATAATAGTCAAAAGTGGAAACAACCCAAATGTCCATAATCAAAATGTCAATACAATAAAATATTATTTAGCCATAAAAAAGAAAGAGGTACTATTCTATGCTACAACATGGATGCACGTGAAAACATGCTAAGTGAAAGAAGCCAGACAAAAAAGGTCACATGTTATATGATTCCACTTAAATGAAATGTCTAGAACAGGCAAATCCGCAGAGACGGAAAGTAAATATTAGTGATCACCAAAGGCTGGAGGGAAGCAGGAGTGGGGAAAGGGGAGTGACTGCTAATGAACATGGGGTGACAGAAATGTTCTAGAATTATATAGTAGTGATGGTTGCACAACTTTGTGAACATACTAAAAACCACTAAATTATACACTTTACAAGGTAAATTTCATAGTATATGAATTATATCTCAATTTTTTAAACTGAATACAAAAAAAGCCTCCTAACAACCAAAATACAGATCGCAAAGATGGTACAGTAAAGCCATATATTTTCCTTTACTGGAAACAAAAAATGTATTCTCACCTCAAATTTATTTATTCTCACTTTATATATAATTTGTACAAACCTGGTTGTATGGTCAAAGCCTATACTGGATTAAAAGCTTCATATTAGGGGAAATGAAATTGATACGGACAGACATACTGACAGTAAGGTTTTGTTAAAAAGGTAAAAGAGGGCTTCCCTGGTGGCGCAGTGCTTGAGAGTCCGCCTGCCGATGCAGGGGACATGGGTTCGTGCCCCGGTCCGGGAATATCCCACATGCCGCGGAGCGGCTGGGCCCGTGAGCCATGGCCGCTGAGCCTGCGTGTCCGGAGGCTGTGGTCCGCAACGGGAGAGGCCACAACAGTGAGAGGCCCGCGTACCGCAAAAAAAAAAAAAAAGGTAAAAGAACTTACAAGCATTGTGTGAAGCCATTTAGTAAGGGCAAATTGGTCTACGCATTTCATTAGGTTCTGGCAGTACCAATGATAAACAGCCTGATACAACAATCTATACTTACAGTAGTGAAAATAATGAAGATGATTAACATAATAAGAGCTAACCCACTTATCACTTGCAATGTGCCAATCACTGTTGTAAGTACCGAACATTTAGTTACTTATTAAACTCCCAACAATCCTACAAGGAAAGTAATACTATTATCTCATTTTACAGATGAAGAAACCGAAGAATCACACAGCTAAGTTAAGTGGAAAAGTTAAGATTCAAACTAAGGCAGTTGGCTTCAGAGTCCCTCCTCTTCTTAACCAGTAGACTATTCTGCCTCTCAGTGACGAACTGTGTCATTAAAAAAAAAAAAAAAAAGTCAAACAATGTTCAGTGTGTCTAAGAAGACTGAAAAATCTACAATTTTTATTCCACTATTAAAAAAAAAAAAAAAACTGTTCTATGGCAGCCTGTTATCTATAGGAGAAAGTCTTGAGGTCAAAAAACAGCTCTTCACAATCTGACTCCAACCCGTATTTCCAGCTTATCTAGCTCCCCTAATTCTAGCCACACCAGAACCAGCTCACGTTCCTTAAACAAACAGAGCCTGCATTTTCATGCCACTGTGTTAAAGGCCTTTTCTTCACTTCTCTGCCTAGAAAATTCCTACTTACCCTTCAAAATCTAGCTCAAATAACACTTCCTCTGTGCCACCTTCCCCGATGCCACTAGGTAAAACTGTTCATACAGCATTTTGTACATATCTCTATTAAAGTATTTATCACATGACATCAGAACTGAATACTTAACTCTCCTTTTCACTGCCTAGAATTAGAACCTAGTACACTGTGGATAATAAATAAAATTTTTAAGTTTTGGTATGTAATAAAGTCCAAAATTATTTTTTTAATTCGGCAATACAAAACGACAAAAGTCATGAAATTTAAATAATTTAAATGGACAAAGTTCATTTTCACATAAATGAGATGTTACAAAGGTTCCTACAGATTGAATTCAGTTACCAGAAACCTTTTTAAGAAGAAAATACTAATACTCTGGACCAAACCTGAGTAATGTGTCACAGTAAAGGTAACATGAATAATGATGTGGGTAAAATTTTAAGTGAGAGATGAAGGTTCCCAGAATCTAAGCCAACAGAGTCAAACGCTACAAGGATACCATTTAGTAAGTTACTGCTCAGCATGCTAACTGAATGCCCTCAGAAATTACTGTCCCTCCCAATTCAAGTCACTTCTCAAGAGTAATTATAATTATAATAGAATTTACATTTTATTACTTGTTCCAGATGAGTTAATATTTAATTCCAATTAGACAAAACCAAACACAACTATACCATGCATACAATCAACCTGTTTCTCTCCCAGTGCATAATATACGACAACCAAGCCAATAACACATGGGACAGTCAATATAGTTTTTAGTATTTACAAAAGAATACCTATTGGTGCCTCAAATGTTTATTGAATTAACTGCATTTTGCCAATTCTATTTGAAAAGTATTCTATTCTATCCTATTTGAAAAGTTACTTTACCTATAAAGGAAATGTCATTTTACTTGGCTTTATTAAAAAAAAACAGTTATCCAAACTACTGGCTAATTTTCTTCCTATTATCCCATACTTATAACCTACCTAATATGCTACCAGCTCGGGCAAAATCCTCTTACTGTTTACTGCCAACCCCAACTTCTTTCTTTCAGACTCTCACCTACCCACAAACTTTCATGATCTTCAGGGCCTCTGAAAGACCTACTGCTTCCAACTCATCTTCATGACTGTAAGTCACTGACTTTTCAGAGGTAAACAAATAATCAGAGCTAGGGATGGATCAATACTCTCCAAGGTAACTTTTTATACAAAACACAGCTTTAAGTCAAATGTCAACTATGCATTCTATTCTTGTTGACATAAAATTAAAACCAACTCAACCATTTCTATGTGTTACCTATTCGGGCAGTCACAGACCTGAATAAATATTTGTGTAGTATTCTCCATTACCTAGGCTGAGAATTCTCCTCATACATTCTTTCTTTCCCCTCCTTGAAGAGGCTTATGGTCTGCTTAGTTTTCTTCATCAAATTCTCCATGAACACCCTAAAATACTCATTTTCTCCAAGGGTCTCCATCTTCCCCTCATATCTTGACAAGATAGTGCGGAGATGCTGGTAGGTGTCTGGCAGCAGGTCTAAGATATAAGGTGGGCTATTCTTTAGCGCCAGCTTTGGGTTCTGACACAACCGCACCACCTGCAACAAATGGAAAAGAAGGGCTATTACTTGGAGGATCTTAAGGGCAATTTCCTTTTTTAAGTTTAGAAAATTATAAAATATGTGCTCTTTTGCGGAAATACGAAAAATGCACAAGAATATAAGAAATGATCCATAACCCACACACACACCCGCAGGCAATCACTTTACATTTTTAGTAGTCTCCCTAGAGGGTGGGTTCTTAAAACCATATCTAACAGTTCAGACAACACGTAGAAGACTAAACAATTGGGGTGGGGAAGACATCCACATACATGCCTAAAAAATGCTAGATGAAGCATGGTGAATTCCTCTGAAATGCACGCATGGCTCACGCCACAGCAGAATAAAGAAAATTTCCAGGGGCAGAAATAAAAAACGTGGCTGCCCTGGGCGGTAAACCGGGTAACGTAGGAGCCTAGAGCTTTAACAACCACTAGGGGACAGGAGCACAGAGGCCTTGGACCCAGCAAAGAGTTGAACTGAGACACCATTCCTTCCCATATAAATGCAGAACTCTTAGAATTTGCCTGGTTAATTCATTTTACCTTCTTTTACTTTCAACTTTTCTCAGTTCTTAGTTTTAAGTAGGTCTCTTTTAAAGAACATATAGTTAGACTTCTTTAATCCAATGTAACAATCTTATTTTTTAACTGGTGAGTTTATATTTGTTGTAATGACTAATAATTTGTATTTATTCCTACCATCTTATTTAGTACTTTCCATTTATGTGGATTTTTGTGTGTCTGGAAGAGACATAAATTAGTGGGACAGAAAAGTCTAGAAATAGACCCACACATATATAGACCCTTGACATCACAAAGGAGTGATCTTTCCCAAAAACAGTAGTGGAACAATCCATATAGGAAAAAAAGAAAATCAAACTAAACCCTTACCTTACACTATACAAAAAACAAAACAAAACAAAAAACCTAGATGGGCTCTAGACCTAAATGCGAAAGGCAAATAAAGCTTTAGAAGATAAGAAAACTATCTTTCATTACTTCATGATGGAGAAAAAATTCTTAAATAGGACCATAAAAAACATTAATAAAGGAAAATATTAATTAAATTCCACTATACTCTAAAAGAACTTCTAAGATACCGTAAAAGAATAAAAACACATGTACAAAATCAGAGAAGATATTTACAATATGTATATATCCAGACATACATATCCAGAATATATAAAGAACATCTACAAATCAGTAAGATAGGGATGATCTTTTTTTTGGGCTACACCGCGCAGCACACGGGATCTTAGTTCCCCGACCAGGGATCAAACCTGTGTCCCCAGCAATGGAATCATGGAGTCCTAACCACTGGACCACCAGGGAATTCCCCAAAATGGACAAAAGACTTGAATAAAAACTTGACAAAAGAAGATATCCAAATAACCAATAAACATATGAAATGGTGCTTAATCTCATTAATCATTTTAATTTCATTAAAATGACAATTGTAAGCTCTCAATTAGATACTATCACTACACACACCAAATTGGCAATGCCAACCACTGGCAAGGAGCAAGGACCTTCAAATACTGCTGGTGGGAATCTAAACTAATAAAACCACCCTGGAAGATAGTTCGGCACTGTATTGTCAGGCTAAAGACTTATATGCCCTACAAACCTGCAGATCTCCGCCTAGAAAGGTATACTGGGATACACATACAAAAATGTGTAACAACTAACAACTGCAAACAACCCAGATGTTCATCAACAGTAGAGTGGATAAACTGTAGTATATTTATTAGCAACAATACACTACCACGTGGATGCTCCTCTCAAACAAAGTAGATCTAAAGAAACTAGAAACAAAATATATATATTACAATTACATGTATATGACTACATTACTATTACAAAGATATCCCTCTAAACTATATTGATGCAATATGCATACATAGGTGGTAAAAATATAAGTAACAGAAAGAAAATAATTTTACTTTACTTGTAGCTGATATAACTGTCCATGAATAAAATGAAAGAGAATTGACAAAACATTAGAAACAAAACAGTTTAATAGGTTGCTGGATTCAAAACTGATATACCAAAACGGCATTCATAAAAATTTTATAAATAATTTTAAAATGTAATTTTAATTGCTGCCATTTTGAATGGCATAAATAAAAATTTAAGACTCCTAAGAATATATCTAACAAAAAATGTGTAAGACTCTTATGAAGAAAACTACAAAACTTCACTGAAGAACATAAAAACAGAAATTAATGAAGAACCCTATCATGTTTAAGGAGATGTCAGTTCTACCCCAATTAGTATATAAATGCAGTGCAATTCCTATCAAAATTCCAAAAAGATTTTTCATGGAACTTAACAAGTTGATCCCAAAACCCACACGGAAGAAAAAGAGACCAAAACCAGCCAAGCCTATTTTGAAAAGTCACAAAGTAGGTGGTAGTTACCCAATGAGTTATCAAGACTTTTTTAAATCTTATAATTAAAATAGTGTGATGTTGACCAAAGACAGATAAATGGAAAAGAAGAGAGCCCAAACAGAGACACGCATGTATGGAAATTCAGCATCAGAAGTGGCATTACAAATCAGTTCAAGAGGAATTCCCTGGAGGTCCAGTGGTTAGGACTAGGTGGTTCCATTGCAGAGGGCACGGGTTCGATCCCTGGTAGAGGAACTAAGATCCCTCATGCTGTTCAGTGTAGCCAAAAAAAGAAAAAAGAAAAAAACACACACAAATCAGTTCAAGAGAAAAACTACTGGAAAACTGGTTATCCATATGGGAAAAAAAATTACATCCCTTACACATTACATGAAAAGTAAATTTCAGATGAATTAAAGATCTTGTGTGGAGAAAAAACTTTAAAGCTTTTAGAAAAAAATTTGGAAAATATTTGTTGAACTTTATGATCTCAGAGAGGAAGTATTTCTTAAGACACAAAAGCAAATCATAACCATAAACAAAACAAAATGACAACCCACAGAACAGGAGAAAATATTTGCAAACAAAGCGACTGACAAGGGATTAATCTCCAAAATATACAAACAGCTCATACAGCTCAATATCAAAAAAACAAATAAAAAAAAATCAAACAATAACAAAAAATCAAAAAATGAGCAGAAGATCTAAATAGACATTTCTCCAAAGACATATAAATGGCCAAAAAGCACATGAAAAGATGCTCAACATCCCTATCAGAGAAATGCAAATCAAAACTACAAAGAGGTATCACCTCACACTGGTCAGAATGGCCATGATCAAAAAATCTACAAATAATAAATGCTGGAGAGGGTGTGGAGAAAAAGGAATCTTTCCACACTGTTGGTGGGAATGTAAATTGGTACAACCATTATGGAGAACAGTATGGAGGTTCCTTAAAAAACTAAACACAAAACTACCATATGATCCAGCAATCCCACTCCTGGGCATATATCTGGAGAAAAACATAATTTGAAAAGATACATGCACCCCAATGTTCACTGCAGCACTATTTACAATAGCCAAGACATGGAAGCAACCTAAATGTCCATTGACAGAGGACTGGATAAAGAAGATGTGGTACATATATACGATGGAATATTACTCAGCCATAAAAAAAGAATGAAATGATGCCATTTGCAGCAACACGGACGAACCTAGGGATTGTCATACTGAGTGAAGTAAGTCAGACAGAGAAAGACAAATATCATATGATATCACTTTTATGTGGAATCTAAAGGAATGGTACAAATGAACTTATTTACAAAACAGAAATAGAGTCACAGATGTAGAAAACAAACTTATGGTTACCAGTGGGGGAAAGTGGAGAGAGGGATAAACTGGGAGACTGCGATTGACATATACACACTACTACATATAAAACAGATAACTAACAAGGACCTACTGTGTAGCACAGGGAACTCTACTCAATACTCTATAATGACCTATATGGGAAAAGAATCTAAAAAAGAGTGGATGTATGTATACGTATAACTGATTCACTTTGCTGCACACCTGAAACTAACACAACATTGTAAATCAACTATACTCCAATAAAAAAAAATTTTTAATTATAAATGCAAAGACTGATTAGTTTGACAACACTAACATTTTAGTAATGATAAATCATAAGAACTACTGAACTTTTTCCTTTTTTCCATTTGTTTAAAAAAAATCAATGCAATTATAATACTGTATTATTTCTTTCAACATCCTTTTTATTTTCTTCTTGGTAAACTGCACTTTCATCAACGAAATATCCTTCTTTAGAAACACTTCTTGCCTTAAAGTCCCCTTTAATGTATCTAATATAGCTAAACCAACTTTCCTGGGTTGGTGTTTGCATGGTGTATCTTTTTCCATTTTTCTATCTTCAAACTTTCTGTAGTCTTACATTTAATGCATGACTTTGTCATGCAGAATATAGCTGGTTTCCTTTTAATTCTGACAATCTCTGATTTTAACCAATTTGACCTGTTTACAGTTCAACTATGAAACTTATTATTGTAGGTCAAATACTGGCAATTTCATACGGTTCACTTAATAAGTACTGATCCTATAATAAATAATAAAATAATTTACTATTTGTTTCCTATGTATCTCTCCTGTTTCATCTTCCTTTACCTCCCCTTTCTTGCCCTCTTCCAGTTTAAGCATTTTTTTATTTTCCCAATTTTCTCCCCCAACAGCTTGCCAAATATATATTCTTTTACTACTCTTTAAATGAATACCTTAGTAATTATAAAATGCATCTGTGACTCATTAAATCTTATATAAAGTAGTACTTTTACCACTTCCCAGACAACGCAAGGAACTTGGGACACTAACTCCATTTTCAAGTTATGTGCTATTACTATCACACATTTTAATTCCATATATCATATAAAGTCCACAAGTCATTATTATTACTATTACTTCTGTTATTATTTTATATGGCCAATATTCATTCACATTTACCCACACAACCCCCCTTCCCAATGCTCTTCACTGCATCTGAAATCATTTCCTTCAGCCTAAAGAACATCCTTTAGTATTTCCTTTAGGG